AGCCCCATCAGTGTCCAGGCCTGGTCAGCCATGGTTAGCCCCATCAGTGCCCAGGTCTGGTCAGGTACGGTTAGCCCCATCAGTGTCCAGGCCTGGTCAGCAGCAACACCTCCCTCGTTCCCGAATCAATGGGAATACTGCCTCAGGCAACAAGCAATGAAAACAAGGAAAAACCACAAAACACAAAACAGTCAGAGAGACAGAGGGAGACAGTAGGAACTGCAGATGCTGGAGAATCTGATATAACAAGGTGTAGAGCTGGATGAACACAGCAGGCCAAGCACTATCAGAGAAACAGGAAAGTTGACGTTTCAGGTCTAGAGATTTCTGAAGAACGGTCTAGATCCAAAACATCAGCTTTCCTGCTCCTCTGATGCTGTTTGGCATGCTGTGATCATCCAGCTCTACACCTTTTTATATGAGAGACAGAGGGAACTGTGAAGAATGCCCCAACCTTCATCCCTGCCAGACTCTGACCTTCTCCCCCTCTGCCAGGCCCACTCTGTCAGACCCACCCAAACCCCAGCCCCGCTGTGTCCCTCTGACCCACCCCCAGCCCCGCTCCGTCTGTCAGACCCACCCCAAACCCCAGCCCCGCTGTGTCCCTCTGACCCACCCCCAGCCCCGCTCCGTCTGTCAGACCCACCCCAAACCCCAGCCCCGCTGCGTCCCTCTGACCCACCCCCAGCCCCGCTCCGTCTGTCAGACCCACCCCAAACCCCAGCCCCGCTGTGTCCCTCTGACCCACCCCCAGCCCCGCTCTGTCCCTCTGACCATCCCCCCCAAGCTGACAGCCCTCACTGCTGGGCATGTTGGGGAGCTGGCCTGCGGACGATGGACACAAGGTGGGGTTTGACTCGCAGTACAGTTCCCGGCTGGCCCTGCAGATCGATGGGATCTCCCTGCACATCGGGCATGAACTGGAATTCCTTCAGCAGGTAGGCCAGGAAGATGAAGAGCTCCACACGAGCGAAAGACTCCCCCAGGCAGGTTCGGGCCCCCAGGCTGAACGATAGTACACTCTGCATGGCCCTCTCAGTGTCAGCTGCCTCCAGGAAACGCTCTGCGCAGCACAAAGTATGGACTCAGTGTTAATGCAAACTTGCCCTGAACTCTACTGGGCCAGTTCCAGTCCATTAATCACTGATCTGATCTCTACTGGGCCAGTGTCAATGCATTAATCACTGATTTGATCTCTACTGGGCCAGTATCAATGCATTAATCACTGATCTGATCTCTGCTGGGCCAGTGTCAATGCATTAATCACTGATCTGAAATATACTGGGCCAGTGTCACTC